CAGTGCAACGGTCTATTGTTTAGTTTGATGAAGAAATTGCATTTATTTAATTTTAAAAATAAATAGCTAGTTTTAAATTTAATTTCAAATTTTAAGATAATTCATTGTCTTTTCATATTCTATGATTGTAATATTCAGTAGACAGTTACTTTTTTTATAACTTAACAGTTAATCAAATTTTGCTAAATATTACGTTGATATGCCGTTTAATACGCTTCAAAATAGGTTTCTGAAAGGCAGTAGCAAAATGTTCAGCTAAAATTATGAACGGAAAGTTCATGCATGATGTGTGCTTGGTCGGCGCTGGGTTGTTGCCCCAATGAAAGAAATGTCCTCAGCCCAACGCGTTCATGAGCCATAGGCTAAAGCAAAAATGTAGTAGTTTGAGTTAATATTTCAAGTTTATTGTCCTTTAATACTCTCCATCCTTGATGCTCGAGAGACGTAGAGTTCGGTGTGTAAGCCACGTTGCTCCAAAGTGACCAGCTGCCTGCATACAAACCAGAGGCTGCCGTAGGTTTCCATTGAGAAGAGCTCATTTGCTGAACGGCAGAATGGTGACTACCGCTTTCCAACCACTGGATCGTTATGATCACTAGATAGGATTCTACAATAATTCATCATAGCCTCGCTGGCCTTCCATTTACATGTTCACAACAGTCTTCGTGGCTACCGTAGCGGCTGAAGGGAACAAGTTTCACTGTACTTCACCCTAGAGAGCAGTCCCTTGCTTGATGGTTGTCCGCGCATTATGACAATGACTAGTTCCAGCTTAAAGTTGGCTTTAACAGTTTTAATGACAAGATAATAAAAATAATAATTTTCATTATCCCGGCTTGCCTGGTGGAATTGTACCGTGTATTTTTGTTGATGCTTGTCAAACGCTTCAAGAAGAATACAGTCTGTTTTGACTGTTCGTGTAGACTCTTCAGTGATGCAATTAATCGCTGATCTTCAAGTGCTTTGAATTTTGATGGCTTTAACTATGGGAAGGATTCTATCGAGAATTTGATAGATTGAGAGCAGAGAAGTCCAGACTGTTTCTTTTCAAGTCGATCTTAATTACGATGCACACCTGGCTTCATGAGTCGTTCCATGACTGAAAAACTTAGATCCGGGAATCAAGCGGTTGAAATGGGCTTTCTGGGACGAAACGCTGGGTTCACATGTCTGGACGTTGTCAGATCTCCAAGTGAACCATATTATGCAACCCATGCCTCTACTGACTGAGGTGACAGATGGGATGGTTTGGGTACGTCTTGCTAATTTCTCTGGAAATGAATGCGAAGTGGCTAATATTTGTCTAACTGACCCGCCCAAGATTACGTAAATGTCCACGAATAAACTCCGGTAAGTCTCCAACGGCTCTGCTCCAGAATAAGGTCGTAGTCTGCCGCAGCTTCAATACTGGCACCAGTTCTGATATTTTTTATAACTGTCTAACGTCTCTACCATCGTGACCCGGAAGGATAAGTTGTCATCAAAACTGGTTGGTTGACAGACTGAAGCACTGTATTGATTGATCAAATAATGCATCACTACTCCCAGCCATATTTCACAGCATACTGTACCATCTCCTTGCTTGTGGTTGCTTGGAGGAATGGATTTTTAACTAGATCTTGGTTCCTTGGTATTTGAATATCTGCAGCGCTTAGTACATTTCGCATCAACTTATATGTTATTACCACCTTGCAGTCATCAAGAACGATGTTTCAGGAGCTGATCTTTCTTATATGACATCGTAAGTTGTTCTTACAACGGAGTTTGTCAAATAGCGAATGACCCCTCCAAGGTCTGATTTTCCAGTATACTGCACTTCCCCTTGATCCTCCTTGCCTCGGGAGGTCATTTAAGCTGGTCACGGCTTTAATTTTGTCTTCAAGGAGTTGTGCATTTTCCTAAATGCTGTCGCACGAAAGTATTTTGATGTCTATGTGGTAACACTCTTAGCCAAATTCTTTCAGCAATTTCAAGCGCCTCTGTACCACCCTTTAGAGAAACGCACATCCGGATGTTTAATTTACTCCACTGTGCTGTTTTGATCCGTCCCTGAAAAAAATTTGAATAATGCCGATTATTTCTTTTATTTCAGATATACCCAAAGAAGCATACAGATGTTTTGAGGAGTATGAAATGCGTTTCTTTCATTAAATATAGTGATTGTGACCGTAAATAAAGACGATTTGCCTCCTGGTTCCATCGTTGGCAGAACAAGAACAAGAAAAATGTTTTCCTTACATGAATTCCAACTTTTCTGCAGAGGCAAAAACTTAGGAAGACTATTTTATCGAAAGTTTGATCTTCACTTCAGCTTAGGGAGTAAAAATCTGGTCTATCAGTTTGCTTGCAGTAGCTGTGACTGGATTTATATCAGCAAAAGCCGTCGATCGATATAAACCAGATTACCGGACACATGAGAGGCACTGAGTACCGTGACGTTGATCATTCTGGTTTTGTTGCTTTTCCCCTGGAAAATGGTAATGATTTTAACAACAGCGAGGTAACGGTTTTCGAACGGCATGAAGACAAGGTGATGCTGCTAATCGATGGGTTCGTCACACATGGCTGCTAGCAAAATTGCAACTTGCAACGGTTGCATTGCCTCCATTGACATTTCCGCAGCGTGCAGCACGACCTTTAACTTAATCGGAAACAGGGCTAACGTCCAACCAGTCAGGTCAAGTACCAACTGACCCAGCAGTTTGTTTTTGTTTCTTTTTCATCCTCTGACGATGACCGTGTTAGATTCGAATTCTTGTAAAGAAAAACATTTTCTTGTTTCTCAAGCTGCCAGCCTTGGAATCACAAGACCTGTCATCTTCAAGTCATCTGCGGCACGGTATCAGTATAAGTTTTATTTTATCTGTAGGTGTAATTTCATGATTCCGAAATCACGAACAAATGAAAATAGGAGTTAGAGTGAAAAATTATCTGCTACGGGATGATTCATTACGCATTGAACTGACCAGCCACTGAACTAGGCAATAGCCACTCCGTGATCACTCAGCAGAGTGATGGTTGTCTTGCTTATAAAGGAATCGCTGCACATTTCTGCAGGAAAATTTAGGCTGTACAACTCGCATTGTTAGTTGGTAGAAAGGGTGTGCAACAAGAACAGCTTTCTGGCGACTCTAAAGTTATTGTTACGTGTGGTTTTAAGTTGGCTCTTCATGTTCAGCTTGCTTCCTTTCATCTTCTGATTGCATTATTCGTTCATTTGATGACCAAAGATGGGGGGCAGTGCTTTAGCAGTAGAGTAAAATAATGACTCGAGTGTGGGTCACTGCTTAGGCCACTAACCATATGATCGTTGCAGCCCGTCTTGAGGAGAGAACCAAAATCATTTTTGTCCTCATTTCGCATTTTAGAGATTTACCGCATTTTTAAGTTTCAAAAAGTTGTTCGCCCTGTGTACTACCAATATCCGTATCGTTTTATTGCATGCTGAGAAAATGACTTTTCGTAATGATGTAGGTATTCAGATATCTGTTTCTTTAGAACGCAGATTTGGCCGCGCTGACGATTGCCAGAACTGCGTCGAACAGTCAGCTGACGGATGGTACGGTTGACGATTCGTGGATGACGGAAAAATGCGACGAGAAAGAAACGACCAGCATGGCATTACCTAAGTACAATCCAAACGCTATGAAACCGGAAGACATTTATGACCTAAGTGACGTGGTTTCTGACGACTACCTTCTTTGCTTGCTTGACGAGGCAAACGAAGCCCTGAAAAACCTGCTGCAGAAGCAGAGCGTGCCGGGTAATGCGTTCGCCATTTGTACTACTATAAGTTCATTCATTTTCAAAGTCCTTTATGGGCCAGGAAAATGACTGCTTCAACATTTTTTAAAATTATCTTAGTTAACGGCTAAATAGTCAGGATCTCAAGCCGCAACATTACAGCCTTTCTGTCTAATCGAACTTTCGATATTGTCTGTGACTTATGAAAGAGAGTTCGCCTTGCGAAGAGGTGTCTCTTATGACGTCTTCATCGTATATTCAGACTATCCATCATGTATCCAAACTAAACTATTGTTGTTTACTGCGAATTTTTTTTGCACTGTTATCAAAGAATCTGCTTTCAATCATCGACGTTACAGTATCATTATAAGTTAAAGAGTATTTTTCTGAATATGTCACTGTTTCCCAGGAAAATTCGTTTGAAACGGTCCATTTTAGTATTGATGTCATTTATTGGGACTGCCGTCTTCTTTTACGTACCTGTTACATTGAAGAGAACGACGCGTGCCGTTTAAGCCATTCCACCTGGTTCGAAAAGATCCATGCACCCTCTTCAGAACTTTCGATGTCATGTAAGATCTAACAAGATCTTCCCACCCTGTTTGAGGAATTCTTGGCAGGCTGTCATCATCTGCTCTGCTTTAAGTATTCGCGTCGAAAGGCGACCATTCCATTCACTGGCAGTGGCCCCACCATTATAAACGCCTTGTTTGCAGTCGGTCATTCACTTTAGTTGGATATTCTAATCTCTCTCTGACGGCTGCATTTAATGCCAGGTCGTATCATTTCACTCATAATATTGATCTTGAAATCTTCACATCAGTCAGTTCTAGTTTTCCCATTCCAGATTTGTTAAGTGCTGCCGTCTTCAAGCCATTCGGAAGGATGTTCAGTATGCAACCCTGTATACCCGCAGCATTGAGCTCTTGCGAACATCTGTTTTCTTCAATAGTGTGAATAAAATTTCTTTTTCACTCGCTGCTAATTTCGTTTGTCGCTTGTCCTTATGCAGCCAATCTACAAGCCATCTAAAACAAAGATGTTCTGTTACCTTCTGCGCAACTTCGATGTCAAAGAAGATCAGGCAGACATTGGTTTCAGTTCTAGCACACCAAGACTACTGTAGTGATTAAATATGTATTTTGCCCTGTTAGCCCTTATCCCCTGGGCGTGAAGATGTCGAAGTTATCTACCCGTTTTTGAACACAAGGTGTTAAACTAATCGTTTTCAATTGTAAAGTTTCCAAATTTTACTTCACAACTCCGTTATTTAACTAAGATATGCAAATATGGTAATTTTTATGAAAAAACATCTATAAACATTTTCATTTAGATCTTTTCCCATACATCACCAATTTCATGAAAAAATTCGTCGAGAAAACTGAGGACCATTCACGGAAACGATGTATGTTAGTGTACCTGAATTACCTGATCCGTTTTTCGTCATTCATCGTCAACCGAAAGCGTGTGGAAGTGAGCCAGTTCGAAGGGTCACACATTCCAGAAGAACTACGCTACAAATTAATCGAGAGATACACGGTTGCAGCCAAAGGTCGACGGCTCATTTCCAGTATGTTACGCGACTCGCTCATTTCGCATATCGTTCTGTTCATGTTGTTCTTCTCCGACTTCAAAATCAGCATGAACGAATTTGTAAAGGATGCTCAAATAGGCGAAAAGAGACTGAAGACCATAGCTCGTCTGTTAGGTTGTAAGGTGACTACTGAGAAGGGTCACGGAATTTCCAGCTTAACCTTAAAACAGCCACCCTCTACCAAGCACGTATTTACTGCGAGAGGAAGAAAATCGTTTAGGTAGTGTCATGCTGCTGCATATTGCTCGGTATTTGGTACTTATGCTCCCTAAGCGTGTTGGGTCGAAGGGGAATAAACCGTCTTTTTCGGTTGCGTCAGCCTGATTTATCTTGTGAAAGCAAATACAAAAAGAAAGACATGCACGCGATCAAAGAGTCACGAACTCATCATCTCTTCTTTATCTTTCTGCCTTTTCTTCGGTGTGAAGTTTTCTCTTTCACTCGTCTGACTCTTCCTAAGCTCTTCACCTCACGAATCTTACGCTTCTTTCTTTTGGAAGAATTCAGCG